AATTACACTACACTACACTACATTCCGCTACACTACACTCCACTACACTACATTACACTACACTACACTACCTTCCACTACACTTCACTACATTACACTACACAACACTACACTACACTCCACTACACTACAACTACACCTACGACTACACAACTACACTCCACTACACGAAATTACACTACACTACACTACATTACACTACACTACACTACATTCCACTACACTCCACTACACTACACTACATTACACTACACTACATTACACTGAATGACACTGCACCACAGATAGACAGGTAGACAGATTGACAGATAGATAGATAGATAGATAGACAGGTAGACAGGTAGACAGCTAGACAGAAGACAGATGAAAGAGAGAGAGAGAGAGATAGATAGATAGATAGACAGATAGATAGATAGATAGGTAATTAGATGAAAGAGGGAGAGAAAGATAGATAGATAGATCGAGAGATAGATAGATACAAAGAAGGTAGATAGGTAGGTAGGTAGATAGTCAGAGAAAGAGAGAGAAAGAGAGGAGACCTCAAGCACCTTTCGGTCCATCAGTGGCTTCGCTCTACCATCCCTGATTCACAACAACCAATCTCTCCTATAGGTTTCCTATTTTTGAAACTTCCGCCACCGGCTTGTGCGGTACTACTGGTAAACATCATCATGATGATGCCGCATTTTCTTGGACAGATCCATTTTTTAACGAACCTTCCTTCGTGGTTGTATCTATCTATATATATACAAATGCATTTGCATACATATATACATATACACACATATACATACATACATACATATATTCCACACACACACATATATATGTATATATGTATATACACATACACATTAATAAATTCCAGTCAGTAGTACCGCGCAAGGCGGTGGCGGAAGTTTTAAAATTGGACACCTATAGGAGAGAGATGAGAGGTTGGCTGTTGTGAATCACAGATGGCAGAGCGAATCCACCGATGGACCGAAAGTTGTGTTTTTTGGAGTGGTTATTTGGAGTGGTTACAATGGTTGCGGTGGTCACCTGGTCGGTCACCTCACCCACTACTGCTGGATGTAGTGTGGTGTAGTGCAGCTGTAGTTGTAGTTGTAGTGTAGTGGGGTTGTAGTTGTGGTGTCGTGTAATTAATGAGCGTAGTGTAGTTGCAGTTGCAGTTGTGGTGGTTTAATGAGTGTAGTGTCATGTAATGTAGGGTCGTGTAGTGTACTTGTAGCTGTAGTTGTAGCTGTAATTAGTGGAGGGGAGTAGTGTAGTGTAGTGTAGTGTAGCGTCGTGAAATTTAATGTAATGTAATGTAATCAGTGTAGTGTAATGTAATTAGTGTAGCGTAGTGTAATGTAGTGTAGTTGTAGTTGTAGTTGTAGGTGTAGTTGTAGTGCAGTGTAGTGTAATTGAGTGTAGTGAAGTGAAGTGGAGTGTAGTGCAGTGTAATTAGCGTAGTGTAGTGTAGTTGTAGTGGTAGCTGTAGTTAGTGTAGTATGGTGTAGTGTAACGTAATGTAGCTGTAGTTATAGTCGCAGCACTAGTAGTAGTTGCCATGGGTAGTGTAGTTGGATGTAGTGCGGTGTAGTGTAGTGTAATGTAATTGAGTGTAGTGTAGTGTAGTAGTGCATAGTGGAGTGCAATTTGAATTGGTGTAGTGCAATGTAACGTAATTGTAGTTAGTAGTTGTAGTTGTAGTTGTAGTTAAGTGTAGTGTAGGGGAGTGGAGTGTAGTGTAATGTAATGTAGTGTAGTGTAATGTAATGTAGTGTAGTGGTGGTTGCAGTTGAAACTGCTACAAAACCTTCACGTTTTGCTCACCTGTGACAACATCCAGAATCCCACGCGCTTGCCACGCAAAACGGCACCTGAACGTCCAAAAGTGGTCCGAAACCGGCAGTTTTTTTAATACTTTTTTGACTTCGAAATTTTCTTCGCGCCACAACGGTGTGCACTTTTTCGACATCTCAACTTCCAAAAGCGGTCCGGACCTGGTGTGTTTTGTACATTTGACTTCGAAATGTGCTTCGCGCCACAAGGGCGTGCACTTTTTCAACATCTGTGTTTTTAGCTTTTTCACGTGTAAATGTGCTTCTCGCCACAACGGCGTGCAATTTTTCATCTCCAGATGCCTCCGTACCCGCCGCTTTAGCGAGCCTACTTTTCGACCCTCTTGAGCCACAAGTCGTTGGAAAAACAGAGCGAAATGGGACTTTTCTACCTTTTCGCGCACCTGCATCTTCTTTCTTCTGACTATTTCTCGTCTCTGATCTTCTCTCTTCTTCTCTTCTCTTCTCTTCTCTGGCTCTTCCCACCTCGGGGTTTCCATCTGTCGATATTGTCGGAAGTTTGATTTTTAAATTTCCTTCGATCAGTATTATATGTAAGAGCATGTAATAGCTACATAAATATATATTAATATATATGAAAATATTTAAATGTATATACATTACCAGTAGTACCGCACAAGGCGGTGGCGGAAGTTTCAAAAATAGGAAACCTATAGGAGCGGTTGGTCGTTGTGAATCGCGGATGGTAGAGCGAAGCCACTGATGGACCGAAAGGTGCTTGAGGTCTCCTCTCTTTTTCTTTCTTTCTCTGGCTATCTACCTACCTACCTATCTATTTATGAATCTATCTATCTACCTACCTACCTATCTATCTATCGATCTATCTATCTACCTATCTATCTATCTATCGATCTCTCTCTCTCTCTCTCTCTTTCATTTAATTACCTATCTATCTATCGATCGATCTGTCTGTCAATCAATCAAGCTATCTATCTATCTATCTATTTATCTATCTATCTATCTATCGATCTATCTCTATCTACATCTATCTACCTATCTATCTATCGATCTATCTATCTCTCTCTCTCTTTCGTCTATATACTTATCTATCTTTCGATCGATCTGTCTGTCTATCAATCATTCAATCTGTCTATCTATCTGCCTTTCTTTCTGAATCCATCTATCTATCCATATCTACATCTATATCTTTATCTATATCTATCTATATCTATCTATCGATCTATCTATCTACCTACCTATCTTTCTATCGATCGATCGATCTATCTATCTATCTATCCATCCGTCTATCTATCTATCTATCTATCCATCTATCTATCTTTCTGTCTATCTATCTGTCTGTCTATCTATCTATCTATCCATCTATCTATCTATCGATCGATCTATCTAT